AGTATTTGTCACAGAAGGACAACAACATATATTGGTATGCATGTTTATATTATAAAACAAACAAACAAACAAAAAAGAGTGCTGTCACGAATGTCAAAAATGTCCATGACAATCATATCCAAATATTGTCCCTTAACAGAAAAGGTCTTTTCTGGAAATATATGGGTCAAAGACGATATGTCCCATTTTGGGGACCGCATCAAATTAAATTGACAAAAGTTATTTTATATACACAGCAATCATACTAAATGCAAGAAAAGTGTCTACTTTAAAGGGTTAGTTCACCCAAAAATGAAAATTCTGTCATTAATTACTCACCCTCATGTTGTTCGAAACCCGTAAGACCTTTGTTCATTTTCGGAACACAATTTACTTTTCTGGGCCTTGAACGTGGTAGTTACCTTGCTGTCTATGGGAGGGTCAGAGAGCCCTCAGATTTAATCAAAAATATCTTAAATTGTGTTCCGAAGATGAACGAAGGTCTTACGGGTTTGGAACAACACGAGGGTGAGTAATTAATGACAGAATTTTCATTTTTGGGTGAACTAAACCTTTAAAGGGGTCGTACGATGCGATTTCAAGTTTTCCTTTCTCTTTGGAGTGTTACAAGCTGATTGTGCATAGATAAGATCCCTGAAGTTGGAAAGACTAAAGTCTCAAAACCAAAGAGATATTCTTTATCAAAGTTAAGACTCTGCCACACCCCCCTAAAACGGCTCGTTCCAACACGCCCCCACATATCTACCTCACTATGTGGAAATATTTGCATAATGCTGCCCAAATGTGCATGCAAAGAAAAAAGGCGTGGTTTCAGTAACCGCAGTTAGTGTTGAAGCAGACTGTGCTTGTCGGAAGGAGGGATTTTGTAGAAAACGAAGCGTTTTAGAGAAGCGGGGCATAGAGGACCTACAATAATGTACAGTATTTGAAAACTAATGTGCTTTTTGAACATTAAAGCATGTCAACATATTCTGTTACACCAAATAATGATCTTTAAAAAAAGCATCATATGACCCCTTTAATGTTTCAAAAACTTTTGTGAAAAAGGGTGAGGGGGTGAGGAAAGCAGCACCTAGCAACAGATACATACTCTCCTCCCTTTCACTTGATTTGGCATGACTGCTCCATCTGACAGCTGCTGGGTTAGTGACATTGGATCAGAACTAGTCAAAACAGCATGCTGTAATTATAACGCATGTGTCCACTGCAAGAGTGAGGTGCTGCATAACGCTGTTTACTGGAAAATACAGATGAATGAACAGAAGCTCTTACTATATGAGCATGTAAAGAATATACTGCTGCATAACAATGTTATTATGTTTTGGCGAATTGGTGGCTAATTCGAATGAATCTGTACGATCGGATTCAAACGTTTTGGTACGATCTGCTGACGCCCCAGTGGCAGTTATATCTAGTTATGTTCACTCAATATCATCAACTCAAACTAAAATAAAATAAAAATAGCTGTATACAGTATGAATCGGAAATGAATTGCAGATAATGGAAACTCAACCAAAGCGACTCCTCTAAGTATCCCAATTCAAAGGCATCAACATGACTGACCATTAAAAAAATGTCAAACTCCACCCAATTCATGAGGACAGACCATAGCATAATATATGTTCCATTTTCATGATACTATATGATATTAGAAAGCAGGCATAATTGTAACACTCAATAAATGTAACCTTTCAGTGATGCATTTCAGTGCATCTGTGCACCAAGCACCTTTTGCTTTGCAATTGATGCCCTTAAAAATGGCCTAAAATGCTTAAATTCCTTACAAACTGTATTTTGTGTATGTATAGGGGTACATATAGGGTAGGTAAGACGTTTTTTCCCTTAACCTAGCAAACTAGGCATCATTTTTGACCACATATTTAGAAAGAGCCTGACATAGCAGCTGCATGTGATTGAGAGATGCACATGAGCAAAGCCATTTTAATGCTAAAAACAGCTTGCAGCATGTCAAAGTACATTTTATGCATGGCAGATGACATTGACACTGGACATGACCAGAGCAAATACAAATTTTGACAAATTAACACTTCGGGTTTGCTGAACAGTAGGACCAAGTAACTTTGGGGTTCTAGAAAGAAAAAACTGTCCAAACAAAGACGGATTTGACCCTTGTGAATACACCTGTGAACATGGTGAATGTGTAAAGCATTTATTTTAGCTTTGCAAGGCAAAGCTGTCCAAACGGGCCAAATTCAGCAGAAAATAAGAGCGCGGTACATGAATCCAGGGTGCTATTATAAATATGTAGCCAGCACAGTTCAGCATATTTCTATTCCTGGTAACTAGTTTAAGGTTATATGACAGAGAAATGAAATGGGCCCCAGTAGTGCTGGGCGGAATGCCGGATCATACCGAATACCGGTGTTTATTTTTGTTATGATATTAATTTTTTTAATACCGCAATACCGGTGTCTGTCGCTTAAACAATGTGACAACTGTTTGAAAGACATTTGACTGCTTTACACATGACCTGTCAGTGGCAGCTCCTGCCAGCCAGTTGAAGATTGAACCCCCACTCCAAAACAACCGCATAGCCATAGCATCTTTAGTGTAGATGCGTGTTGATTTTATCAGACGATGCCGCGATTATAAATGAGAGTGACTCCTGGTTAACATTAAAAGGAGTCGTGTTTAGTCACTATTTAGAGTGGTAATTTTGACAATATTCACTCATCGTGGCAGTAAAATAGGGCATTCTAAGTCAATATACTGCAGTATTTCCTCTCTCAATCAGTAGAAAATATGGTTAACACCCAGTCATGCATGAAAAAAAAAATACCGTCATGTACCATAAAACCGGTATAATTTTGAAAAATACCGTGATATTAATTTTTGGTCATACCGCCCAGCACTAGGCTCCAGCATTCAGCTGTCTATGGGAAATACTAGGTCAAGAGAAATCTGCACACACACACACACCCACACATCCTCACATGCTATCACACACTATCAATCATTTACATAATATTCTAGATGATTATGCTGGTAATATCAAACAAGCAGCCATGCAGTATAACCAACTTGAATTTCGTGATTACTTTGTGTCATTCGTTTTGGAGCCGTCTCGGTAGGCCAGATATTAATAGCGACTTTAATTTAGGCTTCAGTTGCAAAAATAGGCATTAAAGGAATAGTTCACTCAAAAATGAAAATTTGTTTAAGTACACTAACCCTCAGGCCATCCAAGAAGCAGATGAGTTTGTTTCTTCGTCGTAACAGATTTGGGGAAAGGCAGCATTCCATCACCTGTTCACCTATGGATCCTCTGCAGTGAATGGGTGCCGTCAGAATGAGAGTCCAAACAGCTGATAAAAACATCACAATAATCCATAAGTAATCCAGACCATGAATTAGTGGCTTGTGAAGTGAAAAGCTGTGTGTTTGTAACAAACAAATCCATCATTAAGACTTCAAGCTTTCAACTACAATAAGAGGTCTTCTTGTATGAATCAGAAGGGAAATATGAACAGATCAAGCACCATTTAAAAGTGAAAACAGTCCAAAACAGCTCTAAACAAATGTTGGTGGATTTTGATGTGAGAGGACAACAGGGGGTGGGATTTTTCACTGGAAAAATCATTATTATGGATTATGGACGATGGTTAAAAGTTAAAACGTCTTGATGGATTTGTTTCTTAAACATACAGCTTTTCACTTCACAAGACATTAACTGATGGACTGGAGTGGTGTGGATTACTTGTGGATTATTGTGATGTTTTTATCAGCTGTTTGGACTCTCATTCTGACGGCACCCATTCACTGCAGAGGATCCATTGGTGAGCAAGTGATGGAAAGCTAAATTTCTCCAAATCTGTTTCCACAAAGAAACAAACTCACACCTTGGATAGCAAATTTTCATTTTTGGGTGAACTAATCTTAATTTAAATCCTTTCTGTAGATCAGTTCAAACTCTGTATTTCAATGAATAAACTCTGATTTAACCAAGAAAACATACATATAAATATAACATTTTAAAATGTATATATATATATATATTGTTTTATTTCACCGACCCTGTCACAAACCCATATTATCTGTCCTGTCAGATTCATACACATATTCGAACTATTATGAGTAAAGACGTCTAATTGGTTCCTGGTAACTCACACTTACTGACCCCAAAATACAGTTGCATTCAATGTGAACATAAAATCAGAAGATCTTGGCATATCCAGAATACATCAAACACACAACCTTGTCAAACCATACACAACAACAGTATTCAGCAACATCGCTCGTCCTCTGTTATTGCAGCTGACCACAGAATAAAATGATTAATGGATTTTGCGAGATGATCATTCAAGACGAGGAGGTTGGGGGCCTTGGCAGCTGAAGACAGTCCATTCAATCCAACAGCAATGTCAATAAAACAGTGTAGCTGGCAGATTAAACAACATCAGTCTTTCAATCGGACATCAGTGTGCTACAAGCACCAGGGCTTTTTACATCTATCCAAAATTCACTTCAGAAACACTTTCAGTTACAGTAGCTATAGTATAATGTAATGCAATGCAATGCAATGTAATATAGCTGCTTGACTCTTCTCAACAAGCTGGGCAATCTGAGGTACAATTCATGTCCGTAGCACAAACAATGCAGGACAGAGTATTGGGATATTTAGTGGCATCAGATGATAATGTGTATAATCCATACAACCCCATAAATATGACTAAAAATAATTACTATGCAAAACAATATAGAAAGTGTGTGTGCACCACTATACGTAAATGATACACTAAGTGGATTTGCCCTTGTTAAATGCTATGCCATCTCTGATTACTGGCTCTGTTTCACACGAGTCGTTGACTATAATAGAATAGAATATTTCAAGGTGCCTAACAGCATTTTTCAAGCTAAGTGAAGAATGGCACAGAGCATTTGCACACACTTAATTATCTGACAGAGAAAATGCTTTTATATTAAGAGTATTAACTACGATTAGCCAAGATAGTGAGCACAGCATAACCCTGAGAACTTACTTTCTCCATCTTGTCCAGCCACTCCTTGTTCTGAGCAAGTTCTGCCATGAAGGTCTGGTGTTTTAGCCACTTCTTATGAAGCTTCTGAGTCTCGTCGCGGGAGGTGTCGCGAGCCATTAGCATCTTTTCTGCCACCCAATCACCAATCTGTGAAACACACATCAACACACACGTTAGGAGTCCCACTCAAATCTCATGTCTAAGAAAAATCGTGTGATCCTGTGGTCTGTGATATGATTTTCACACCTATTCAGTTATTTAAAAAAAGATATAAGCTGACATTAGCATACATATTTATACATATATACATTTAATTTAAATAATATTTCATTATCATTATATTAGTATCAGAGTCTGTGTGGCATACCAACATGCATATGCCATTTTTTCAAGTATCAAGAATATCATAAAACAGAAAAAAAATATTAGCGACTCTCTTTCAGAATTAAGAAGACAATGGTATTCATGACTCAAAAAAGCAAACGAACAAACATGTTTAAAAATTAGGCTATGAATAAAGCTTTGCGCGTGTAATGAAAAATGTTATTACTTTTTACTTTCACCACAATATATTTAGATTCAATAAATTACATTAAAAAATAAAAATAAAAATGTAATAAAAAATAAAATTAATTTAATAAAAAATTTACTTTTGCTTGAAATTCCACATAAAATAAAATGAACAGTACATTTCGAAGAACTTCATATATGTATTTTAACCTATATTTTTAAAGGATTTTTCTTACAAAGGATCATATAAACAATAACATTTGTGATACACTGCTTATAGAATGCATATAGAAAACAACACAAAACCTTAGTAAAACACTATTTTACACTAAAGTCTGTCCCTAAAGATTATGAAAAATGACCCACAGAAAGTTTCCAATGTGATCCCAAACAAAATATCACTTTATCGTTCCTCTTCAAACAACAGTACATCATATATCTTTTATTATATTTTATAGTAGTTGTCAAGTAAATGTACAGCAGTGACATGCATTACTTCATCAAAAACTATTTTAAACATCTTTATTATACGTGTTTATTTGTGATAAACATATAGTCAAACATTTGTTCTTTAAAAAAATATTTCGTCACACTGCAGGACTATTTAGGTGAACTGCAAAAAAAAAAAAAAGTTGGTTAAAACAGTGAAAACCGGTAAATGGACTAAAATATACACTTCACATACAGTAACATCAAGAAATGCATAAACATATTTCATGATGCAATATATAAAAATGGCAATATAATAATTAGAAAAAGTTGATGAGTACATTATATGTAAACTAATGGTGTATTTTGAAATATTATTATAATTACCACCTGAATCAGTTTGTGAAGAATCTGTCAGTCAAGTTCCCAAATCCACATGTTCACCTGCGGACCAGGTGTGCAACAAAACCCAACGCTGGCCAGAACACACACGCAAGTACAGTCCAAAAACAGCACTGGATGAAATATTCAAGACATGTGCGGAGAACTCAGTGGACCAAACTAAATCCTTAAATGACTGTATAAAATACAGTGCACACAAGAAGCGCTGTGCATCTTAGTAGAAAACAAAGAAAATCCCCAAAAAGGTACAGAATATTAGCTGTCTGGAGCCCGAGTTGCAGCGAGGAGAGAAATGAGCCCAGTAGCGGTGATTATTGATGTTACAAACACTAGCCAAGGACAGAGAGAGAGAGAGAGAGAGAGCAAGAGAGAGCAAGAGAGAGAGAGAGAGAGAGAGCGAGAGAGAGAGAGAGTGGGAGTTGGAGAGTGTCAAGAGGGAGGATGTGGGCAGCGTTTTTTCCCTCCCCTCCTCAGAGCGATCCAGACACACTCCTCACCCCGTTTGTGCAGCGGCTTGCATCTCAAACAAATCCATATCGTCTTCTTTCAGTCCGTGCCGCCTCTTTTCCTCTCCTCCTCCTGTTTTGTAATATAAGCTTGATTCAATACTGCGGAGCTGAAAGACACAGTTTCTCCCGCTGCAGCATCCACGATGAGAGAAAAGCATGCGGAGAGACAGATAGATGGAAAGCGAGGGAGGGAGACGAGGAGGGAGGGGGAGAGAACCATATCGAGAGAGAAAGAGAGAGAGGGGGAGCATACGTAGTTGCAGGCGTCACAAGGAAAACACTAGGCTCTTTAAGCGAATATGAATGAGGCGCAGTGAAGCTATAGAGAAACAGAGGTTCAAAAAAAATGAGCAAATGATCCAAATCTGTCAGATCACAACCTGTACTCTTAAAAATAAAGGATCCAAAGAGGGGCCATAGATGAACCGTTTTTGATTCCCAAAAGAACCTTTTAGTGATCAGTTCTTAAAAGCTCTGTTTTTTATGGAAGCTCGTTTCTGCCAAAGGATTAAAAATAAGGAAATTGTACATTTTTACCTCACAACTCTCAATTTTTTCTCACAATTCTGAATTTATACTTCACTATTCACACAAATTTCGCGATAGACGTCAGAATGGCGAGATATAAACTCACAATTGTGAGGAAGAAGTAAGAATTGTGAAATGTTAAGGTTAGAAATTTGAAGCCGCAAGAAATAAAGTCAGAATTGTGAGACACAGTTGCAACTGGTAGAACCAAACGAACAGAATTCATAGAAAAAAAGTCAGAATTACGAGATATCAACACAGAACAGCGAAAAAAGTCTGGATTATGAGATAAAAAGTCGCAATTACCTTTTTTTTTGTAGTGGCTTCCATAATTTTTTTTTTGTGTAAAGAACATTTTAAAAAAATCTAAAAAATAATTTGTACACTATATGGAATGGAAAGGTTCCAAGGATGTTAAAGGTTCTTAATGAAACTTTATTTTTAAGAGTGTGCACATATACTTGGGACAAACTGAACCTCTCTACTAATCACTACAGTGGCCTTTGCCCTCATGAGGCACCCAGCGCTCTCACCCATAAAGCCACTTAGGTCAATCATGGTTATTCCTCAAAGAGACCCTGAGGTGGAATGAAGCAATGGATCCAAGAAAGAGTGAATGACCAGCCAGGGACACGGGAATTAATTATCCAGTAAACTGATAGTTAACTACACCACCACTAACACCAGAGAGACATTTAAACTAACTAAGACAATGATGTGATACTTCAGATCAGGAAACAGCTCAAAGGAACGACAACTGAGAGCAAATGAGAAAAGTGCCACATAGGATGTGTTTAAAATAGCATTCAGTCATACTACTGACTATTTCTGCTGTAGGCACTATACACTAGGCTGCAAGATCTGGGAGAAAAAAAAAGTGTGAAGAAAAAAAAAACAGGTTTGCTGTGCTTGTTTGTAGGGCTGCACAATTTGGCCAAAATGTTGTAATATATAGAATTATTATTCCTCTTCTGATAATATATAAATATGGCTATAATAATAATTAACTAACTAACTAAAAACAAAACAAAACTGTTTAGATGTTTTTAAATTTTGAAGAGTTGCAATTACCTTTTTTATATGGCTTTAAATTATTATTATTAATAATAATAATAATAATTATTACTTTTAAATAAAATAAAACAAAATAAATATTACTATACTGTAGTAATGTTTCACTGAAAAGAAAACAAAAAACAATGTATATAATAAAAAATTATATCACTACCAACAAGTACTGTATCCCACAATACAAAGACTATCCAAATCATGAACAATTGAACTGGAATTAATATCAGCTCTGATTTGTGACTTTTTTTATGATATATCTTCACTGTAAACGGTAAACGACTAAAAATGCTACAGTAAAAACCTGTTAAATGGTTAACGGTAAATTCCCCTACTATATATACGGTGAAAAACTGTATTGGACATTACATGTATTGGACATTAATTGGAAGTGAAAAAGACCATATAATTTACTGTGAATAACCGTAAATTGACATTCCCAGAATTCCCTGCGTTACATTTCAAATTTGATGTTTTTTTGTTGAAATAACTATGTTTCTTCTTAGTTTTTTCTTATCAGTTTTGTATATTAGGGTTGTGTGTTACACCTAATGTTGTTAAATGAATGTTTATTGCATTATTTCAGTTTCATGTGTGTTACCGTGATGGTGTTTAGTGTTTGTGTGAATGACACTGTGCATCTTCTGTATATGTTATTATTTAAAAGCTGCTTGTGATGGGCTTTGGTTCATCATGTGACTTTCTCATCACCACCTGCATTTTGGTGGTTATCAGTGTATTACAAAGGTGCAAAACAGATTTCAGTACTTCAACAGTTTGGTATATTAACATTATATCAGTTAATGAAATTACGGTATTTTACTGTAAATTTAAGTTAAAACCGTAAAACCTAAAACGCTGCTACCGTAGTTTTTACGGTAACATTTTTGGCAACCACAGCTGCCAGTTTTTTACCGTAAATTTTACAGAATTTATTTTACAGTGTTGTTCTTGATTCATTTGGACTGCAAAGAGGTGTTACACAAAACTAGATTAAAAATGCAAAACAACACTTTCATTTGTACATGCCACTTGCTGAATTAAAAATGCAGGTCTGGTTACAAGACAACAATGTAGTCCTGTTTAAAATGTTCACTACTGCATAACATGTTCTGTTTGAGATACCATTTAAAAAAAAATAACAAGCCGTTACTGTGTTACTTCATAGATTACAGTATGCATTGATTCCAAGTCTAGCCAAAATCTGCCACTCACTCAAACGCATACTGTTTAATGCAGGACACTGCCTACGATATAATAGGTATCACGCAAAGATTTCAAACAGTAGTATGCAACAATATCCAGAAATCAAACGTTACACAATCTCGTTACGTTGCATATTTCAAGGCTCCTTTACACTAGAATTAACACTGTGTCAATGAAGCCAACAAATCCATTGATTTTGATGGGGATTTTGGAAACATAAACAATTATTTACCATTTTTATTCCAAAAACAAATAAAAACAATGAGAATTGTGGGATACAATATTCAGTACAATATGCACAGGTTGTTTATGCTTTTCAATGCATACAGAAAGTCTGCATAGAGTATACACTCTGCATACACATACATTATAATTACTGTCTGCACATTACATACACTGTATACAACTTTCCACTCTGGATATATACTGTTCTTATGTAAAAAAAAAAGACACTATGCTGTTTATAAACAATATGGTTTTGCATAGGATGTATTTCTGCTATTTGATTTTCTTAACACAATGCATAAGAGAAAGTGATTCAGTGCACTCGGACCATCTCTGATCATTGTGTTCTCAGTCTCCACACGTGTTTGACAGCTCTTAGAGAAGGCAGAGATCCATCCCCAGCCCTACAGTGAACACACACACACACCAACACACTACTGAAATTCCCTCTCTCTCAACTGAATAAGTGATGAGGAGACCTGCTAAATAATTGAGCATGAGAAGGGAAAAACAAGCAAATTCTAAATAAACCTGCAGGTTTGGGCCACACCGAGAGCCTCCTACTGTACAACTGCGTTCACACACCATTTACCCACAATGCTCAGCTGTTCAGTGTCATTTCAAGACACAAACTAAATGCCACAGGTACTGGACGACTTCTGTAGAACATGACTAAGTCTTACCCGACTGCACAAATGTTTTTCTACGGTCTAAAAATTGTGTTTACTACAACACAGGAGACAAAACTGTTCATTCTGCTTTAGGAAATAACTGAACAACTGACAGGCCAGAATACACAGACACCACCAAATTACACACAATAGCCTACTAATGGAAAAAGGTCCAAAGAGATTTACAAACATCCAAAAAAAAGGTGAAAGATTGTAAGCCTAATGAATCAGTTTCTCATTGTGAAAAAGAAATACACTTACAATAAGTATACTTTTAAAAAGAGTACTTGTTATGGAAATAATATACTTCAAAAGAATATACTTATTTGTGAACTAAATGTAATGTTTTCGGATTATAGTTTAAATTCCTATTAAATGCAATTAGTTAAAGAGAGTGCTTTTTTACCCACTTAAATAGGACTTAAGTATATCTTTCAACTTAATTTCATTAAATATACTGAAATGTGGAAAACTAAAATGAACTTTAATGTCATTTCTATTAAAGGGGTCATATGATGTTGCTAAAAAGGCCGATGTTACGCCCCTCATATACTGTTGATGCCGTGTCCCGGCCGGAGCAACGAGACAAAAACATTAAAACTCATTATAAACGAGGCATTTGTTGCATCCAGTGGGGACATAATTACGGATTATAATGACTTATACTGTCTTTTTACACATAAAACATAAAACCATGTCTGCATTTGTGATCGGAGAAATGACAAACAATAAGCGCTGCTGTACACTGCTCAAAACTCACGTTTGAATCATCAGTGGCAAATTCTTTAACTATGAAAACATACTTACAGGCTGTGAATCAGAACAGCCGGCATTATAGTCTACTCTCCCAGGATCAGGAATTCGTTGAAGGAACTACAGCGAGAATAAAAGTTACGGCGTTTGGGCGGCGTTATGCAAATCTTCCCACATTGTGACGTAGACATGTGGGGGCGTGTTAGAACGAGCCGTTTTAGGTAGGTGTGGCTGACTCTTAACTTTTATAAAGAATATCTCTTTGGATTTGAGACTTTACAGATCTTCTTTATGCACCAAGAGCTTGTAACACTCCAAAGAGAAAGGAAAAATTGAAATTGCATCATATGACCCCTTTAAAATTTGTCATGCATTTAACAATATATAATATGTTTTATAAAGTTGTAATATAGCACATTTCAAATCTGTCATATCAAATAATTCTACAGTTAAAATTATCATTAAGAGCTGTACATGTACTTTAGCATGTTAGTCAACACACAAAAAGTGTTAAACAAAAAATATCGTTAAAAATGACGATTTAGATTTTACTTGAAAGTAAACTTTCAATTTAACATTACTACAAAGTGTACTTTTTAAAAGTGTACTTAAGTGTGTTAAAGGAACAAAGCCATGAAACTGTCTCTCTTTAAGTGCACTTAAGCAGTCTTTTATTTCATTAAATAATATTATCTTTAAAAAATACTTTTAAGATTACAAGTGCACATTCGATACAATTAAACACACTGCCTTTTCACAAGGGTCACAGTTAATCAGACATATCTGATGTTTAATATACAATCACATGGAGCAGGGTTTTGGACCAATGAGCTTTCACTGTGGGCGAGATTAACAAGAATGGTGACACTGTTTTTAAAACCAAGTGACAATTAAAATATCCTGCAGCTTGACTAAAACACATATATCACTCTATTGTATTGCAACTGGTAAGGACACTCAGTAAGAGTAATTTATTTTAATTTTGCTACATTTAAGAAATGCTTTTTACAAGTTACAAAGAACAGTAGAAACAAGCGTGAGCTACATTGAAATCCTGCACTGCTGTCCACACTTAACTGATGCACAGATTTACCTACAGTGAGGCAAACATCTTTTGGTTCAAAATCATCGTTTTCCTTGTTTGTGCTCGGCGAAGTTACAGGTCTGTGAGAGCCAGAAATCTTGCTTGTTTGTAGGTGACCAAATACTTATTTTACCGAGGAATTTACCAATTAATTCTTTAAAAATCCTACAATGTGATTTTCTGGATTTTTTTTCTCATTTTGTCTCTCATAGTTGAGGTATGCCTATGATGAAAATTACAGGCCTCTCTCATCTTTTTAAGTGGGAGAACTTGCACAATTGGTGGCTGACTAAATACTTTTTTGCCCCACTGTATATAGTACCGCTAAGTGGCTCTTTGGCTCGTAATTATAGGGGAACCAATTTAAGTGCTATATAGCACCTATAAAGAACCTGTAATGGTTCTTCAGCGGTTCTTTGGGATGGTTAAGGTGCTATTTAGCACCATCTTTAAAGATATAGGTGCTATGTAGCACTTAAAGTGGTTCCCCTATGATTACGAGCCAAATAACCACTTTTAGTGCTATTTAGCACCATTTCAATGTGCTTACATTCAAAACTTAAACTTTCATCATTACCCAATTCATTTTATTAAAATTAAATTTTTAATTTAATGAAAAATATTTAAGACAGAAATATATTTTAAACATAAATACAGAGTTCTGTCATGAAACTCTAGATGGTGCAGTACGATAGGTCTAGCTCAATCTGACCTGGCGACAACATTGTCACATGGCAGCTGACTGGTTCTCTCCTGTATCGGTAGCCAATGAGCTTACTGCTCAATATTCAAATACCTGGCTTTTGTTTGATGTAGCAGTTTGCAGCGCACTTCAGAAACCCTCCACCTTCCCCAGCTCCACCTGTGTAGATATGCTACGAAGTGATTCATGTATGCTATATGGGGGTTATTCATATGTGTTATATGTGCAGCAGCAGTATTTCTTACATGCTCACAGCAGCATGTTGTGGATGTATTGGCAGTAGCAAGTCTCGGTACTTGCTCTGCCGCAGCAGCAGCGTAGCAGATCTATTCTGCCAAGTCCAAATACATTAGCATTGTCATGTACATTACCATGCCAATCCCTCGGAGAGTTGTCATGACAGAACTGTATTTAACTTTAACTTCTCTCCTGACCTATCACTTTTCAAGCAATTTGTTTAATATAAAAGTTTTAGAATTGTGAGATAAAAAGTCACAATTGCCTTTTTTATTTTTTACTCAGTGGCAGAAACGGGCTTCCACACCAACCAGCTCTATGCGGCATAAATGTTATCATAAGTGTTGTGGTTTTGACCTGTTAGCGAGCAGATCCACTCTCTCTCTGATGCGCTCAGAATAGATGTTGTTCTGACTGATGAGGCTCTCTCCTGCCTCTATGACAGCTTTAATGCGGTGCAGGTTGAGCTCCATGGTGGTGGTAAAGTCCTTGTGCTTTTTGATGGCTGCCTCCACGGTCTCCACTGTGGTGGGGAGTTCCACATGGGCCAGCGCTGACTCCTGAGGAGTGGAGAGAAAGACAGGGTGAAATACTGCATACAGAAAGCATCTAAAATGAGTCCAGATCAATTAAAGTAAAAGCAAATCCATAATCAGGGCAAATGGCAAGCTGTTGGTGGTACTGCAATAATAAACACTTTGAAACAATATCAATGCTCACATATTCTTCTGTGACGATTCCACAAATGTTTTCTAACTCGGTCAGTTCTACAGATTGAAGGCACAAATACAAACGGTCTACTTAAATTCATTTTTCTTGCAAACAGATATTAAATGATGGAAACAAAAATACAATATTGATAAGTCAATCTTAAAACCATAATTGTTAAATATGTTTAGTTGTCCTTACAATGCTCCCATTTAGAAAGGTGAAGCTCAAACAATCTTAAGGAAAAGTGGCTAATGAATGCCACTGCCATGTGTGTTACTACAAACCAGTTCACGCTCGATGACAGTGCGGATTCTTACTCTGTACCCGCAGGCAACAGAAAACGACTCTGGGCTTTTAGCAAGCCACAAAAGACACGGGGTTGAGGAAATGCATGTCCCCTGGCATTTAAACCGCATTTATGATATTCTTATGAAGTGATGACCCAACATAAAAGCATCTCTGAATATGAACTGAGCAATGACTTTAAACTGCCCTGATGCTCCTGACATTTACAGACTTGACCTAAAAAAGATCAGCCAGATCTGTTCTTGTGTCCTAATTGTCTGCTAACTCTAACCCGTAGAATAGGACAGTCATAAAGTGTCTTAAATATCTCAATTGTTTTTCCTAGACGGCGATGAGATATAAAGAAGAGCAAATGGAGACTTTTCTCAATTGCATTTACCTTTTTACTCCGGTTTGCCTCATTTCTGAGGGTGAAATGGTTTGGGCTAAACACGCGGCAGTATTAAAACCTGCCATGTCTTAACCCTAGCTTCAGAAGAGATCTCAACAATTACCCCTATTAATTCTATTAAAATGAAAAATTTTAATTTTATGAGAAACAAAACTGGTAATTAAATATAAGTACATTTATATAACCATAGCTGTTATTTTATTCTGTTATTTTAAATTGTGATAATATTTCACAATGTAACTGAATATAACTGCTTTTAATGTTTTATTGTTTTGTCAAATAAATGCAGCCTTGATGAGCAAAAAATATACTTTTTTTTTTAAATCAATAAAAAAAATTAAATCTTAATTATTTTTAAACTTTTGACTGGTAGTGAAACTAATTTAAGTAGTGTATGAATCATAAATGAGATCTCCTTTAAAGGGTTAGTTCACCTAAAAATGAAAATTAGCCCATAAATTACTCACCCTCAAATCATCCTAGGTGTATATGACTTTCTTCTTTCAAACGAATCCAGTCGGAGTTATATAAAAAAGTGTCTTTGATCTTTCAAGCTGTTTAATGGTACTCAGCGGGTGTTGCATGCATCAGTCCAAAATAAGTTAAATAAAAAGCGCCCATCCATAAAAAAAATGTCTCACACAACTCCGGGGGGTAAACAAAGGCCTCCTGTAGCGAATCGATGTGCTTTTGTAAGAAAAATATCCATATTCAAAACGTAATAATCACTTTAATGTAGCTTGAGCCAACAGTTGTACACTGGAAGCAGTTCCGGGCTGAACCCGGTAAACTGCTTCCCTCCAAAATCCGCTGAGTGGCATTAAACAGCTTGAAAGATCAAAGCCAATTTTTTATATAACTCTGACTGGATTCATCTGAAAGAAGAAAGTCATATACACCTAGGATGACTTGAGGGTGAGTAATTTATGGGCTAAGTTTCATTTTTGGCCGAACTAACCCTTTAAGATTCCTCATCTATGACAGATCAACTTCTGAGGAATAACATTTAGGAAACAAAAGCCTTCAGAAACATCTTTCAAATTTAAACTGTGTAACTACCATAAAGAGGTATCAGGGGCTTCACCTGGTTATTGAGGAAAGCCTCGGCCTGCTTGACATCCCTCAGGAAGAGATGGAAGATGTGAGCTTGCACCAGCACCTCCCTCCTGCTCTCCCACATCTCCACCAATTTGTTCCAGCCCACGTCCAGCTTGTGTAGCCACTGCTGCAGAGCTCCATAAGGCAACGGCACTTCCTCCGTCTCCACAAGCTCATTCACAGCCTGGAGACGCTCGTAGTCCTCTTCGTACCTTCCGATCTCCTCCTTGAGCGCGGCGTGTTGGTTTATTAGCCGTTCTGCGTCCTCTAAAGCAATGGGAAGCTCATCCGAAGCAGCAGCAGTCTGGGTTTGCACCAACCAGGTGAGGAAGGAATCCAAGTCTTGGATGAACTGTTGTAAGCGGCCAGCGACGGTTAAAGAGTCTTCACAGCCTTGCAATGTACATTTTAGCTCTTCCCACTCCACACTGATGCCCTCAAAGGGAACCAGGATGTCTACGGTCTTGTCCGGATGGGATGTGGCAAGCTCCTCCGCTTCCTCCTGCAGGTGAAGGAGCTTGGGCTCGAGAACCGTCAGAGCTCCCTCCATGGTGAAGAGACGGCGCTGCAGAGCCAGCACGCTGCCCAGGTCACTGCCCACATACTGCGTGGCGTCTATGGCTTTCCGCTTGTCCTTAATCTGGGACTTGATCTCCGTGCATTCCAGTAAGTAGTTCTGGATGCGCAGGATTGAGTCCAGGTGATCTTTCTTCTGCTCGACCAGCTCCACAATGCGGTTCCACCTGTGATACACAAAAAGAAAGCAATTAAGTTGATTTTCTAGATTTCAGACATTTTTGGATTCGAAGACTCTTTAAACACTTGTATCTCTGTTAAAGTGAGTTCATTCTGTTTCAAATCTTGCTCTTTTTTTGTGCATGTTACTAAGTGTGCCTTGCAAAGTCGGTATGTTCCCTGTCTTGCATTGCAGATGTGTAATAAAAATGACTCTTTAAACACTAGGGGTGTAAGAAAATATTGATACACGTGAGTATCGCGATATTTTGTTTGGCGATACTGTATCGATTCTCAAAAACGCAATACCGATATATAAAAAAAATAAATGTATACAAAATTCATGGCCATTCGTTTCATTTTAAGTTTATATCCCGACCGCTAGACAGCACTCTTCTTACCTCTGAACTTAAACAGTGACAATGTGTGCGTTCCTCTCCTGCAAGGTTTGTCTAGTCCCGCCCACTCCCACAAACATTCTAATAATAATTCATTTATAATTTATGCATTTAGCAGATGCTTTTATCCAAAGCTACTTACAGTGCATTCAGGTTACACATTTTTTACCAGTATGTGTGTTCCCTGGGAATCGAACCCACGACCTTTTGCGCTGCTAACGCAATGCTATATAATTTTCGCGTATAAGGGAGCCGCTATCAATGGGAAGTATTTAAATCTCTTTTGAATGAGTGCTCGTGCTGTTCACTTTCACTTTCGATTTCGCGATCATGCGCACTCTGAGTAAAGGGAGCGCATCTTACGATATACGATATTTGTCAATGAGCTCTGGATCTGTTGAGTAGCAAATCCTCCAGCATGGTCTTGTAGGGCATCCCTCCTCTCGACCCATGATCAGTTAAATCTGACTCCTGCAAGCACTTATTTGTTACCCCTTTACTCGTTCTGCACAAAAAGTGGTTCAATAGCGTTGAATGTTACAGGGGCAGATTAATGCAAATGCAGATCCCACTGTGTTCTTGTTAATATATATATATATACTGTATATATGTATGTAAATGGATTTTTTTTTGCTAAGGTTTGCATATGGTGGTGTGTTCTAAATGACAGTTTTCCTAAAATTATATCATATTCTCCTATTCCTAAAATAAGAAATATCCCAATATATCATCTTGCTTACAGTATCGCAATATATCGCAACATATCGCATTGCAACCCCTGTATCGTGATATGTATCGTATCGCCAGATTCTTGCCGATACACAGCCCTATTAAACACTGATGACTGTTAGCTTTGAGGTCATCAATATGCTAGTGCTAAAAGTTAACAACATTAGCTTTTATTATACATAAGTGCATGTAAGATTTACAGCTTTTCTTAAATGGTCCAAAATATTGATGACTCATCTTTGTTCACAGCAGGGTCATTAAACTCCTCTAAAGCTAAAACTACAATCCTTCAATCAAATCAATCAATCAATAAATACTCGAAATAAAATAAACATGATCTAAAATAAAAAATACTGTATATATATTTCAGAAAATAAGGAACATTTCTCATTTTCATGTACTTATACTTGATGTACTAAAATAACAAAAAAAATGGAAAACATTATAGACATATTAAAAAAAACTAATAAAAATCACAAACACAAAGAAATTATGAAATGTTAACTAGAATTAATGAAAGTGGAAGATACAAAAATAAAAAATAATTTTAAATGTACAGCTATAATAATATCTCAATGCTACTAAAATAGCACTGGTTTGCAGAGATGTATATGCAATTTTATCCTATTAAATACTCTCTAGAAAAGCGGTTTTCAACCTTATTGACTTCAAGGCTATTCATTGTCCTCAACAATATTTGAAGGCCCACTAGTACTAGTTTTGCAACTTCTTTTAATCGATAGGCACTCATACTTTCTGTAAATAAAAAATAAAAAATAATTATAGTCAAAATTCAAATTTGAAAATTACTTTCAAATTTCCATAAGCTTTAAGAGCCACTGATCTAGAATGAGAATGTCCTTCTCACTAATAAGCTTATTTCCCCAAGCAGCACTTGTTTCTTGAGCAACATTCTTGCTGGTTCTAGAAAGTTAAGTTAAGTTTTGTCAGCATAACTAATTTACATTTATGTATTTAGCAGAATTTTCCATGCTCGAAAGCATGCAGCTCTGCTATCATTACGTATGCACAACAACTCTTACAATGTTCCTAAGGTTTACAAATGTGTCTGGTGCAGACAGGGTGTTAGATGATGATCTAAACCTTTAAAAAATTATTTGAAAAAATCCAATATCTGCTAATAAGAAATTAGCAGAAAAAAATTGTATTGGAGGATAATTAATATAAATTAAATATATAAATTGCATAAACTAACAAATTCCTATTCCTAGAAAATTAATTAATAAATGTTTTAATAAATTAAATGTTAAAAAACGTTAATTCAAAATAACTTTTGACTGGAAAATTTGTACTACATCCCATTGTACATAATTCTGTTACGATCTAGAGTAAGGCTTGGATGATGCATAATAAAAACGACTCTGTTCCAGAAAACATGACTCAGTCTGAATCATTCTCAATTCATGGACACACACACACACACACACACACACACACACACACACACCACACACACACACCTATCAAGGACCCACCCACACAAAAAACAGTCCGAGGACGCACCGGTGGGCCACAGCTCAAGGCCTGAGACACAACATCTCAAATCAAACACAGTTACTACAGGGCACACTTTAATTAAACATTCTTTTAAATACACTGCGGATTCCAACTGTGGGCGGCATAATAACTAAAAGCGGACTCCCCTTGTTTTGTGTGAACCCTTGGTATTTCTAACTGACTTGATCCTAATGATCTGAGTGGTCTCTTAGGTTTATATTCAGTGATCATATCTGCAATGTATTTAGGTCCTAGGCCATTGAGTGATTTATAAACTTGTAAAAGTACTTTAAAATCAATCCTAAATGTAACTGGAAGCCAGTGTAAGGACCTGAGAACTGGCGTGATATGCTCAGATTGTCTGGTTCTTATCAGAAATTAAAAAATACAAAGCACTTGCAGAAATGACATCACAGGTGCATTTTTCTAATGAGCCTAGGTTGCAAAAATGTCTCAAAAAAAAAAGTCAAAAATTTGATTTCCAATGCAATGACATTTCTAAATATTTTCTGGGGTCACAGTAGACAAGCAAACACCTGGTGAATGCTCCTACCTGTGTGCGATCACCTCCACGTCCTCTAGTCTTTCGGGAACCTCCATCCTGTTCAGCCACTGCTCCTTTTCATCGATCCACACCTCACAGGCGTTCACCTCACTAAACATGTGATACACAGCCAGCGCGTCATGAAGCCACTGCTGCCGCAACACGGCAACTTCCGCCACCTCTGTGTAGAGCTGCTCCGTCTCAGCCATGCGCGCTCGCACCTCATCCAGCTCCCGATAATGCATTGGCAACACAACCATGTGTTTCCGAAGGCCCACCACTTGTACACGGTGTTTATCGATACTCTCTCGGACACCTCTGTGCTTTTTAAGAAGAGACTGCGTTGAATACTCATCATGTCCGAAGTCCTCGCTAGAAACGAGCCTGTAAGCGTCCTGTAGCCAAGCTAGAAGATCGTCCGTCTCGGTGCTGAACTGAAAAAAGTCCAGCGCCTCCTGTAGGTTACACAGCCTCTGTGCGGCCTGGTCCTCCAGTCTCTTCCACTCGGCCTTGACCTCCATCAGTCGCTCTTGTATTCCAGCCGTACCGAAGCTCTTCTGGGTGAGGATCTGCTTGCCTTTCATCATGGTCTGCTGAAGTAACGCACGTCGCGCCAACAGCTCTCCAGCCACGGTTTTGTGCTTCTGCAGCAGTCGCAGGATGCTGCTCAGGTCTTTCCCGCAGCTCTGCGTGGCCAAGATGGACGTCTTCTCTCGGATCCAATTCTCTGATTCCTCTACCTCCTGAAAGAAGGCCCACAGCTCACGCGAATCCTCCAGCTCCGAGCGCCGTTTTGCAGCCAGCTGCTTTAATTCTTCCAGGCAGGTGTTGACGTGGTTGACCCGGTTACAAATTACCTGAGGGTCACACGGCTGGTAACCTGAGTGAGAAACAGAGACAAGAAGAAAAGCTTCACTGATTTGTCACCAAAGTAATGTTATTTAGCTGGCTAACAAAGAATAGGTTTTGTCAGATTAGCAAAAATGACTTGTTAAAGTCTTGTAAGCACTAAGAAAGTCTTAAAACTGCAAATTAAACAGTATGTTCTGCATCTTTCATTGAGATACACTATAGCTGTATAATTTCCAGCTTGCTGCAATAATATATATACTGTATATATATATATATATATATATATACTGTATATATAACTTTCTCTTGATCAAAAAAATCCTGAAAAAAATTATATCACCATTTTAACTCTTTTCAACATTGGTAATAAAAAGTAATGTTTACTGAGCACACCATTAACATATTAGAATGATTTCTGAAGGATCATGTGACACTGAAGACTGGAGTAATGATGCTGAAAATTCAGCTTCTTGCATCACATGAATAAATTACATTTTAAAATACATGAAGACAGAAAACGGTTATTTTAAATTGTATTATCATTTCTGTATTTTTGATCAAAAGAAAGAAAATCTTTAACACGACGTAGCTGGGCGCCGCGGACAGACGCCGCCGGTGTGCCTGCACTCATAGAAAATAATGTATTTGAATGTTAAAGCCGTGTTCAAGACTTTGTAAAAGAGCATAATAGGACCCCTTTAAGGAAACTTAACATTTAGTTTAAAGCTGAAAATAGTCATTATTGAGCTGGGCCCTGAACCAACAAGGTTTAGTAGTGTGTGCTGAATAGAGAGCAAAGCAACTCCAGCCCTCTTGTGGTGCATTATGCAAGTTCCTCATGTATTATTATTTTACACACTCTACCCTGCAGAGGTCTCTGGACATCTCAGTGAAAGAAACGCATCCAGTAAACCTTTATATCACAATCTGCCATCACGTCTTGACCCCAGACAGTGTCTCTGAATCAATATTCATCATGTTACTGTTTTAAGGTGCACTCACCTTCAATAGTGGTGAATTTGAGAGCTGCAGTGTTGAGGGTTTGAACTCTGTCTGCCTGTATAGAGATGTCAGCCTCCTGTAAACTCTGTTTCTGGAGCATGTCCTCCACTTCAAGAAGATGTTTGCCGTAGTCCTTAGAAAGCAACTTAACCTGGGGCAAGAATATGGCACTTTGGTCAAGAAAAGTGTGTTTGATTGTGTCAACTTGACTACTGAATGAAAATATTGGTAATACACAATGTATGTTTTTGTGGGGATTTAAATCACAAGTCAAATTGGTACAGTCAACCCACCTGCATCTCCTCCATCCAGTCGATCATGTAGACCATCTCTTGGAAGGTCTTCTGCAGGGCCAGGTTCTTCTCCAGACGGGCTTTACGCCCCACCACCAGCTCCTTCAGAAGGCTCCACTGGCCAAGGATGTTTTCTTTGCGTGCCAAGATACGTCGGATGTCATAGTACCCTTCTGACTCTATCTCATTGGCCAGCTCCACCACGACACTAATTCGCTCCTCGTAAGACAGGATGTCTGCTTCGATCGCCTCGTGTTTCTTCATGGCAGCTTCTACCGCTGGTAGGTCATAGCCGAAGTTATCCTGAGGAAAATGCAGCACTCTTTTAAGGCAAAATGTCACCTGTTTTATTTTATACAGTTCTGTCGTGACAACTCTCGGAGGGATTGGCATGGTAATGTACGTGACAATGTTAATGTGTTTGGTCTTGGCGGAATAGATCTGCTATGCTGCTGAGACTTGCTACTGCCAGTACATCCACAACATGCTGCTGTGAGCATGTAAGAAATATTGCTGCTGCAAATATAACATACATAAAATAACCCCCATATAGCATACACGAATCACCTCGTAGCAGATCTATACAGGTGGAGCTAGGGAAGGTGGAGGGTTTCTGAAGCAAGCTGCAACTGCAAATACTAATCATATATTTGAATGTTGAGCAGCGAGCTCATTGGCTACAGATACAGGAGAGAACCAATCAGCTGTGCCATGTGATAATGATGTCATTAGGTAAGATTGAGTTAGACCTATTGGACTGCGCCATCTAGAGTTTCATGCCAGAACTCTGTATTTCATTTTTTAGAGTTTTATTTTTCTGTTCTGCTCACCTGTGAGACGAGACGCTGGTTTTCATTCAGCCAAGCCTGCCTCATGGTGGTCTTATGATCGAATCGTTGAGCTAGAAGTTCTAGCTTTTCCTGACGAATCAGCTCTTTTCTAAGAGCCACGCCCCTCTCGTGCTCTGCCTTCTCTAGTCTCTCCCACGCCTTTCATGAGAAAAACAAAATATGAGGATTGTTCTGTGAGACAATTTTAATGATCATACAATAATTTTGATTCATTTATTCGATAATATATATATAAATAAAATAAAATGTGAAAAGGTTAAATAGTAGGTAAATATTACTTTCAATAATAATATTAAAATAAAATTTGATTCAATTAAAATTAGGCACAATCAGTATTGGTACTTACACGAAATGTTTGACAACATTTAGATTATTTTTAAAATATTTTTGAAATAAGTCTTTTTTTTCCACCAAAGGCTGAATTTATTTAATCAAAAACACAGTAAAACACTAAAATGGTGAAATATTATTAAAAATTGAAAATAGCTGTTTTGTATTTGAATATATTTTAAAATGTAATTTATTCCTGTGATGCAAAGCTGAATTTTCAGCATCATTACTCCAGTCTTCAGTGTCACATAATCCTTCAGAAATGATTCTAATATGTTGATTTGCTGCTCAAGAAACATTTGTTCTTATTTGAGAACAGTTGTGCTGCATCATAAATTGTGGAAATCATGATACACTACTATTCAAAAGTTTGAAGGATGCACAATTTAAAAAACAAGAAAAATAAATTAATACTTTTATTTAGCAAGGATGCATTCAAAAAATAAAATGACAGTAAAGTCATAAATGATGAAGCAAAAGTTTTTCCAAAATAATTGATAATAACTGAGCAGAAAATCAGCATACAGTATTAGAATGATCACAGGAATAAATTACATTTTAAAACATATTCAAATCGAAAATAATTATAACTTGCCATTGTTCACAATATTACTGTTTTTATCAAAATTGAGGCTTTTACATTACATAAAAAATATTCATCAGATGACATGACATGAAAATTGTCAAAAAAAAAGTATTTTTCTGAAAGGTAATCAGCCCTGTTCTAGTTATACGAAAATACAAAATTTTACACTGTAACCAGTCAAGAACCATATTAACTAAACAGTACACACCTTATTGATGTCTGAGATAAGTTTCCCGTCATGAGGCACATATGGCTTCTGATTATTAGCTCTGAGTTTACTTTGGATGGTGAAAAGCAGCACCTCCAGGTTCCCTTTCTCCTGGAATCTGTTAAAAAACAATCCATTAACATTTAAAATATATTTACTTTAACTTTAATATCAAAGAACACTACACAGTTTAATTATAATCACATACAGTACTTCACATGTGCTTTAGTACGTTAGTCAAGACAAAAAATTAAGTGTACTTCTTTAAAGCACATCAAAAGATTATTAAATCACACTCTTGCACTCTTTACAAGTGTATTTAAAGAGATAAAGAGATAAAAAATGAAAATTTGGTCATCATTTATTTATCCTTGAGATGTTCCAAACCTGTACGAGTTAAGATATTTTAAAGAGTGTTGGTAACCAAACAGTTGCTGGTAGCCACTGACTTCTATAATAAATCACAACACACTGGACTAGCTAACCAATCAGAGCCCATCACCTATTTCTGAGGGAGGGGCTTCATAAAAGAAGGACATGATCAGCACGTTTCTCAGAGAAGGGACAGAGCGGTGTGGAATAAAGGGAAATTATGTGAAAAATTATTATTTAAAGTAAAAGAATTATGTTTAAAAAACGAAGCATTAACACATGTTAGACTGCACCCCATAAACACAATCAAGCCTAGAAAAAAAACTGTGAACCACCCCTTTAAGTGTGCTAAGAAAATGTTGTGAAAGCGTTCTCTCTTCATTAATATTATCTGCAAGCACATTTTATTTTAAATATACTTTTAAGATTTGAAGTACGATACAAGTGCACATTCAATATAACTAAGCGCACCTCTTTTTCACAAGGGTAGGAACACCTTTGACCAACAATACAGTGACTAGTACCCTTAAATGGTAGCGTAAGAAAGCGTTGAAAGAACCAGATGATTCACAGTCATAGTTTGAGTATTTTTCTGGCAGTCATGGAGCATCTGCCAACACTGTTTCATTTATTCTCTCTTACTTGATAGGCTTCTCAATGGTGCAGTAGGTGGTAAAGGCTTGAAGCTGTTGCTGAACACCCGATAGCGAGTTTGCAAACTTCTGGTTGCTAATGATGCTAATGGTTCTCTCAATCCACTCTAACAGGTCGGACGCTAAAGCCACGTAGCGGTGAATGATCTTCTCAGCTTCGATAGCATTGTCCAGCACCTAGAAAGAGAAAAAAGAGAGGGGACCTCATTTTAAACCTCATTTAAATGAGGTTTAGCTCTATCAAACATGCACAAAAACACCCCCTACCTTTCCAATTCTCTTCCCTTCTACAATAAGGGCCTTCATTTTGGAGAAATAATGATAGTAGGAAACTACATAAGTGATGATGGACTTCTCATCCGGATTTTCTGTGTTTACATCTGGGTGGGAGAAAATGGTTATTGTTTTGAGTGATCATTCAGCTATTTAGCTGAATCAATATAACAAAAAATATCAAACCTGGGCCCCAACTAGTGCATTTAAATGTTCACATTGTGTTGACTGTATATAGTGAGAGTAAAATGCAGTTCGTTACCCTCAGGGTCTAGTAGCTTGGTGAGTCCGAGACTCTGTTCAGCAATGTTAAAGGCTTGTTGGAGGTTGTGTGTTGCATTGGATCTGGTCAGCTTGTGGAATTCAATTAAATCAGGCCTGGGAAACACACAAGCAGAAATCAGCTCACATAACAGCCTCTATCAATGATGTGAATGGAAGGAAGCCTAGTCAGTATGATGTGTGTCTGTCTGACTGCTGACCTGTGCCTGTGAATAAGAGCGTTGAAAGCCAGGCCGTCCCTCCAGCAGGTGGTGAAGTTGTGAATGTTGACCTCAGGATACCTGGGGCAAAACACATGAAACATCATGAAAGATGTACAGGAAGATCATGTGTATTTCTATAAAGGCCTAAAAGAAAACATACCGTACACTACCAAAATTTTTGAATAATTATGTTTTTTTTTATGTTTCTGAAAGAAGTCTCTTATGCTCACCATGACTGGATTTATTTGATTCGATTATTAAAATAAATAAAAAAATTATATTTAAATATATTGTAAATATCATTTATTCCTATGATGACAGTTGTAATATTTTTGTGGAAACTGTGATACACCACCAATCGAAAAACTGGGAAAAATAAGATTAAAAAAAAAAGATGCAACCATGCATGAAATTGATCAAAAGTGACAGTTAAGACATTTATAATATTACAGAATAGTTATTTTTCAAAAAGAAATTTGCTGTTCTTTTCAACTTTCTATTCATCAAAGAATCCAGAAAAAATATGTATCACAATTTCCACAGCAAAAACTTTTTTCCACACTCATAATAATAAGAACCATTAATGATAAACGAGCAACAATGATAATTAAACAGCAAATCGGCATATTAGAATGATTTCTGAAGGATCGTGTGACATTGATAGCTGATGAAAATTCAGCTTTACCATCACGGGAATAAATTACATTTGAAAATATACTCAAACAGATTTTACAATATTACTGTTTTCCTGTATTTTGATCAAATAAATGCACCATTGGTGAGCATAAGACTTCTTCTAAAAGCATTGGAATACCTGGAACCCAAATTATTATTTTGACCAGTAGTGTATATATATACTGTATATATATATATATATATATATAGATATAGATATATAATATGATTGTCTTTGGGTTGGTTATGGGTAGTTGTGGGATATATACTATAGATGTTACCCTGCTGTTTTCATCTGACACCACAGAAGAAGGGCATCTTTAGCTGAGCGTGTCTCTCTGTTGTCCTCCGTCTCAATCTTAATCACCTGGATCTGTTAGGAATGAGAAACAACAATAAAAAGTTAGTGCAATCTGAAATGCACAGACATTAAATGATTGTGAGCTTTTTAAGGGATTCATCACAGGCTTTGCTTTCCTTGCTGGGATCATGAAGCCAAAAAATTTCATATTCTTATTGCAATGAAACAACTGAAAGCACACCAGGAGAAACGTGGGCTATCCCAATCTTTAAAAAAGGGCTACATCTTGGCTGCTATTTTTGGACGGAAAACAGTAAATGTGTAATTTTTTTTCCCTAATGAAATGATATAACAATTCCCTGAAGCAGTATCAACAAAATTATATACTTATACTTTTACTAGACAAAATTATATACTTTAAAAAATTATTTTAGGTCATTTAGGTCTTACTTAATTTTTTTACATTTAATTTTGCAATTCATTTCACTCTCACTCTGAATGTGTGTTGTGTATGAGAATGAACCTTTTGCACTCTGGATGTTTATAGTCTCACTGCTTCATTATTATGTGCCTTCATTCAACATTGTGGCTGATATATAGATTTTATTCAACACAATAATAAAAAAAAATTGCTCTGTCTTAGAAAAAACAATGTATGACTGTGTTAGTTTTGAACCACTCAGTTTGACAAAAAATAAATAAAATAAAAAATAAATATATATATATATATAAAATAAAAAATGTCTGAAAAGCTTATAAGGGTTAAAGGCATAGTTCACCCCAAAATGAAGATTGGTAACCAAGCAACTGACAGTAGCCAATGACTTCCATAATATTTGTTATGCCATACTGTGGAAGTCAATGGCTACTGTCAACTGTTTGGTTACCAACAAGTTTGGAACAGGTTTGGTGATTAAATGGTGACAGAATTTTCATTTTTGGGTGAATTATTCCTTTAAACTAGATTTATATTTTCTAAAGAAAACTCAGGTCTCTCCTTCAATGAACATTTATGGAATTTTATCCACCTATGTCAGTGCCATCGTGATTTAGTTTTTTTTCCAGATTTTTGCAGCCCAAACGGGATAAATTTGCTTCGGCTTTTCTAAAAAAACTGTGGTGGTTTATATTTAAATTTTTGTTGCTTTGCAATAAAAACTCACCAATAATCATTAGTGACAGTAAGTCACTTATACTATATTATATTATACTCTAATATAAGAGTATTTCTTGTGAACAATTACTAAAATCAGCTGTAGTCCTTGGAATTAGTAGTCTGTCCAAATCCCAACGGTTTTGCTTAAAACACTGGGTAATGGCTTGTATAGCAATACTGTATTATCATTTCAAGTATTTAATGTGATTGCATTAGCCTATCTGTGGTTTACTAGCTGGCCTGTTCTGTCATTAGACAATATATACACTAATATTTCATTTCGAATTATCATTTTGACATGATACATAATAATGAGTGGCACAAGGACGCACTCCTCATGCCTCCTTATAGTGTGACATATGTGACCCTGGAGCACAAAAGCAGTGTTAAGTCGCTGGAGGATATTTGTAGCAATAGCCAAAAATACATTGTATGGGTCAAAATTATTGATTTTTCTTTTATGCCAAAAATCATTAGGATATTAAGTAAAGATCATGTTCCATAAAGATATTTTGTAAATTTCCTACTGTAAATATATTTTTGATTAGTAATATGCATTGCTAAGAACTTCATTTGGACAACTTTAAAGATGATTTTCTCAATATTTGGATTTTTTTGCACCCTCAGATTCCAGATTTTCAAATAGTTGTATCTCGGCCAAATATTGTCCTATCCTAACAAACCATACATCAATGGAAAGCTTATTTATTCAGCTTTCAGGAAAAAATGGACCCTTATGACTGCTTTTGTGGTCCAGGGTCACATATGTGAACCAAACACATACACACACACACACACACACAAACATCTCCAACACATTTGTGTAAGCACATTACAAAACTACAGCGTCCCAAGATCATTCGTCATATTGAATTTCTCGCATCATGCAGTCAATACATGATCGATATCTACAACCTCAAAGAACAGCACTGCAAAAATCTGTATTTTAGTCTTGTTTTCCAGTAAAAAAATCCTTAAAACAAGATACATTTGCTTGAGAAGTAACATTAAGTTAGATAGAATATGCCTTGCAATATGTTTCTTATACAGTTGAGTGAGACTGCTTTTATTGCTTTAAGCAAAGATTTTACAAAGGTTATGCTTAAAACAAGAGTTCTACAAAGGAAAGAAAGGAAATGTAAACACAGATTTTTAATGTCTAATACATAACAAGCAAATATGAAACCTTCATCAAACTATACAGTTGTGATATATAGTTCTATAGATCTGTAACGTTTCTGGTCCACAAGATTCGGAAGTTTGCATGTTTGTTTTGCCTTACTGCTCTCTCTCTATCTCTCGCTCTCTCTCTCTCTCTCTCTCTCTCTCTCTCTCTCTCTCTCTCTCTCTCTCTCTCTCTGTTCTGGTGCTG